GATTCTGAGATTCTGGAGAAGTCCTAATCCCACTGAAATCAACAGCAAAACTTCCATGAGCTTCAGGATGGCCAAACTTTCACCCTGAGTACCTATTAGTGAATCTTTGTCATCTGGCCCTCTGCTTGACTTGCAGGATTGCTCCATGCAATACATTTTCCAATATTTTGTTCAGATGTAGTATAAGTACTTCAAGGCACAAGGGTTTCTCTCCATCCCCTGGAAATAGTTGCACAGGCTAATAGTTTAAGGAAGTTTTTGCTTGAAGAGTTGAGTAACAGAGCCAACGTCTGTTCTTGGTTGAACTGGAGTAAATATGGAATAGCTTGTTGACAATGCAGTTACTCCTCTTTTATGTCAGTGTAACTGAGAGCATAGTTTTGCCCATTATTAACTTTTGTTACATTATTTGTATTTTTGTGCATGTCAGAATTTGTTAATCTGATTGTTCAACATGAAGTAACCTTCTGCTGAAAACAGAACGTCAATGTGAATTAGGTATCATCAGCTAAATTGAACCTCACCCTGTGCATTTGACAGATGGTAATACATTCATTAAGTGTTCTGTGGTTGCTTTGAGGTTGGAAAGTGCTATTTTTCTGGCTTCTAACTCAGAATTCTTAAGTAAAGTAGTTTAAAATCCTAGTTTTGAAGGGAGAAGAAAAATCACAAAAAGCTCATGAGGGTTTTTTTACTAATATTATTGTTTATTATTGGTGGGATGACAGGGCAGGACTGTCATTGCTAGAACTTGTCTTTGGCTGCATAATTAGCCCAGAATGAAATAGAGAGAAATGGTTCCACCATGGATTTTACCTATACATGGGTAGAATTTCTTGGAATTAGAGGTTGTATTAAATATATCCCAGTGAAGGCAATATGATGCTGGTGCCTTTGTGCTTGGTGATTCCACTGTCCAAAAGAATGGCTTCCAGGAGTTAAGACATTGCAGCTCTTGCATGGATAAGCTTCTGACAGGGCTTATCTCTCAGAGCTGGTCACATCTGAGATCTCTAAGTTCCTACTCAAAGTCTGTAGGGTGGGGAAGCAGTTGGAGGTAGAAATTTCAAAAGCAGCACAGAGCCACATACTCAGGCCCGGCTCTACTTGATGTTGTAATATTGAATCCGCCACCCTGACATTACCAAGACAATGCAAGGGTGTGATTAGACACTTCAGGACAAGTTCTCCCTACAGCTCATTTAGGGGCACCAGAACCAAGTGTAGAAGAGAACACTCTACTGAACAGAGAGGAAGCTCTCAGGGTGTTTATTTCAAACCTATTATTTTATTTTTACTCACTTTGGGGAAGATGAATCCCACCCATTAGCTGTTAATCAGCAAAGCTATTTAGTTCTTTAATGATGTTTCCCAGAGGACAAATTGCCAAGGCAATTAGGTGCTTAGCCACTTCTGAAATTCACTGTGGATGGTACTCTCACAAATGGGGAATTAGTATTGTTTTAGATCTTCACATCTTTTTAAATGTCTTCATACAGTCTGGTGCTGACTGGTGTTCACATGGCCCTTGCCATGGTGAGTGCATTCTCTCCCCTGTGCTCTCAGTGGAGACAATGTAGAGTCATCCAGATTTTCATGAAATAGCCACAGTATAGGAAGTTTGGAATTAAATCCAAGTTTAAGAAATTAATCCAAGCTGAGTTTGGTCAGGAATGTGAACCCAGACAGTTTTTTCCTCAGGAGGAGTCTCAGAACATTCAGAGCTGTAGGCTATTCTGAAGAGGTCATTTCCTGGTCTCCATTCACAATTTTTCATCTTTTACATAATGCTTAAATATCTAACAGGCAAGAGAGAAAATTCGATTCTTTTACACATCCTCCTACTTTGGGTGGGGATTTCCCTGAGAACCTGCTCAAGGAACATAAGATTTTAAATCCTATAGATAGACCTGAATGTGTTAGGGTATCTAGAAAGTAGGATTTGCAACATGGATATTTGCCTATGAATTTCAAAAAAGGCCTTGGAAATCATTGACAGGCCTTAAAAATCTGACCCTATGCACCTAAAATCCATTTGATATGGCAATTTTTGAGCTTTAATTATCTTAGTTTTTCAATTTTTTTTCACTATTTAGTTGGAAGGAGAGCAGTTCTCTCTTATTCACTATTTTTCTATTTTACAGGCTGTTCTGAGAAGTTTACTAGGATCTAAGATCTAGTTTACTGAGAAGAGTTTTGCTTAAAAAAATGGGGTCATTAAGTTACACAAGTAGTTGTTCAGTTCTTGCCTATCAGGATATAAGATGGTCCTGACTCTGTGGTGATTTCAATGTGAGGTGTCAGCATCCTGTGGGCTCCAGCAGAGCCTGTGAATTAGGTCACAGATGTATTGAGCCTTGAATATACACTTATTTCTGGCCTAAAGCTGCCGTATGCAAGTGTCAAGTATGAATTCAGATAGTTGTTTTTCTTGCTGTCACAAACAGGCTGCACTCCAGGCATTGTTTTTGGGACAGCCATGACGCACTTTGATAGAGCAATGAGAGCAAAAAAAACCCCAAAACCTAATAAGTTCCAGAAGAGTTACATAAACAAACCTCACCTGCTGCTGTTGTCTCTGTGCACACACCTGACTTACCTCATGGGCTAGCATAGAGCATCAAACTCCTCCTGACACTCAAATATTGCTCAGATGACTTGGAGAACCAAAAGCTCAAATGACTTGGAGAACCAAATTCCCAACTGGGTGAAGGGAATACTGGAAAGTGGTCAGTGTTGAGCCAGGTCTCTAAAACCCAGATGAACAAAACTGAATGAAATCCCAGTAATTCAAGTCCACTGTCTCTACATGAACACACTGTAAGAGGACACAGTCTGAGGCTGGCCAAGAGGTGTTACAGGTCAAAGCAAAAAGAGATTGCTGAATCCTTGCCACACTCCACAGTTCCTACCCTCCCGTGGAAGTTGTGAGGCAGGACAGCTGCAGGCAATTAAAGGCACCACTGCCAGCATCTGACAGCAGAATGTCAGTGTCAAAATTCAATTTGAAGTGATTATATGAAGGATGGCAACACTTTTGTTTTATGGATGGCAGCACTTCAGTCGCTTTAGATGCTCTGCTTTCAGAAATAAAATTCTTTCCCTCCATGCTATGTTTGTGGGGGTGTTTTCGGTTGGATCGCAGTCATTTCTCCAGTCAATCAATTAAGCCAGGGTTTGCCACTGTGTCTCAGAGTCAGCCACAAAAGAGGCTGGTGGTTCCCTGGTGCTGGGCCAAGAGACTTCAGTGGGAGCAAGGCATCAAGCAGCTTAATCTGACTTCCACTGCTGGCACAGGTTTAATGGATGTTAGGGCAGCAGGGAAATCATGTTCTGTGGTGTTCAGCTCCTGCTGTCTCAGTGGCCCTGGATGTGCTGCCTTTCTCTCTGTGCCAAAAGCACAGGGGCAGCTGACAGCAGAGCCTGTGGAGTTACCTGTGCCAGCAAGGCTCTGTGTGGAGGGTGATTGCTGCAGCCCTTTTGAGTGCCTGTTGTCCATAAATATATTTAGGACCATAGGATTGTAGAAGGTTTGGGTCGGAAAAGACCTTAAAGACCATCTAATTGCAGGTGTCCCTGCCACGGACACCTCCCACTATCCCAGGTTGCTCCAAGCCCTGTCCACCCTGGCTTTGAACACTGCCACGGATGGGACCACAGCTTCTCTGGACAGCCATAAAGAAATTCTTGCATATAATTAACCAAATTTCCTCTATTTCAGTTTGAACCCATTGGTCCTTGTACTTACCTCTATAGGCCTTGTAGTGCTGTACCACCTGAGTAACTCTCCCCTAAGTTCAGTGGCAGTAAGTTACTCAGAGATGTTAGATTTTACAGTATTAGGCCATTAATACTGACTCCAGGCCATATCTGCAGCAGGTATAAATCACTGCAGGTAATTTTCACCAGCTGAAATTCTGGCCTTAAGCCCATGAGTCATGTTGTTATTTTTTCACATTGTAAATTCTTGCTGTTTCTTATTTATTTTGCTTTAGCACTTTGGGGCACTTGTGGGGGACCAGGATTCCATCATGGTTTTTACCCTTCAGACAGAAACACGAAAGGCCCTTCTTTGCCCCAAGTGTTTGCAAGTAATGCACAAACCTGCACAGAGTTATCCAGCTTTTTTGTAAGTGCATTATTGCAAGCAATCTTTTGTATTGTCCTGACAATGAAGCATAAAACCACAAATTCCTTGCCTGGGTGAAAAATTTACACTCTGCTGTAGAGGTCTAGGTGGCATTTGAAGACTGGAATTAGTTGAAGCCAGCAGCAGTGTGGGACATGATCTTCAGTAACTGAACTAAGAGGTCTGGAGTCTCCTCTCCATCACAAGACTATTTGAGATCTCTCAAAAAGAGCATTTGCACCCAAGCTGAACCTGAGTTAAATGGGAATTTTAACACTGGCTAATATCTCATCTCATTTGTAGCATATCTTTCAGCTCTATGGAGCTCTGGTTAGCATCTTTGGAATTACTGCTATTGCCTTTCATTACTCTGCAAGGGTGTTGAAAGAAGTAAAATTAAGACTTGATAGACCTGAAGTAATGCTAGAAAATTCTGCTTCATTGCAGTCCTATGCAGCTGGTTAGAAGAATGAAGGAGCAGTGTACATGGTTCCAGTACCTATGTGATGGCTTTCAACAGACCTGAAGAATATCATAGGCAATGTGTGTTTTTTTGGTGTATCATCTTGACAAGCTGTTTTTTTATTCTGTGATCTCTTTCACTGCTTTTTGTTGTTTGTCAGGAGAAGACGGGGTACAGTAAGGTCCCTGTGTCCCTTTTCCCACTGCAGGATGAGCTTTATCCTCAGGCAGATGTACTTTGCTGGGCTACTTTGCCATTGGGTTGTGTCAGCTTTGGAGCACAAATTAACAATGAAGAAATTGGTTCTTGGCTTTTTTTCTAGACACTAGCATTGCCATTGACAATGAGCATTTAGAAACAATTCTTATCCTGCCCTAACCACTTATTCTTTGCGGTTTTTTGGCAAAGCGCTTGAAAGGGGCTTGGTGAAGGCTCTGAAGAAGCTGGATGACTACCTGAGAACTCCCCTGCCAGAGGAGATTGATGCAGACAGCACTGAAGAGGAAAAAGTGTCTAAACGCAAGTTTCTGGATGGAGATGAACTGACACTTGCTGACTGCAACCTTCTGCCCAAACTCCACGTTGTGAAGGTAAAAGATGTCGTGAGATGGTAAAAGAATCCGTATCTGACATGATGTGCCTTGCTCTGACAGCTGAGTGCCAAAACCAACGTGTATTTCAGCAGAGAATTCTTCAGGCCTAGAAGAGCACTTTGAAACACAATTTTGCTCTTCAGGGTTTCCTAGAGGTTAAATAAAGGAACTTTATATTTAGTTCATGGGAAAACTGTCCCATCACTTATTAGTGGCGAAGACAGTACTAGGTTCTAGATGTCTTGTCTCTTTATTTTTACCCTGCTGCAAGTAGCAGCAGTCTTTCCTATTAATTAGTTCCTAATGCTCTTAAGAAACATGTCAAAACTTTAGTTAGTTCCCATCCATTTGTAATTTAAGAGCAGCAGTCAATTTCCTTGGGGAATATATTCCATGTGGTATTTCACACAGAGAAGTTAACAAATCAAAGTCATTGCCAAGGTCCGGGATTTAAGATGTACAATGGTTGCTGGTATAGTGCAAATCATGTACATCATCTTGACTTCTAAATGTTGCATTTATTTAATTTATCAGATGACATGTTGCTTTAGAATAACGCAAGTACCTGGCAGACCTTGGCAAGCAAGTGAGCTAGGAATTAAAGCCAAGTCATGCATCTAATTTGGCTCTGTGAGCCAAAACATAAACTGAGCCTGGGAGCTGACTGCACACATGCAATAAGAAAAAAAAAAAATTAAAAAGCACATAAGTCACCAGGTAAGAAATGTGATAATATCCTCACAGGTTTAGTGCTTATTCTGACTTGTCTTCATTGGCGACGTTGGAGTCAGACAATGCAAAATGAATGTGTGGCCCCTCACTGGTTCTTGTCTCCTAGGGATGAAATGAAAGATGTAAAAAGAGAATTAAAATTTTTCTCAGACAAGCATAGCCATAGGATAGTGCCTGAAAAGCATTTAACAGATAGAAGAAAAGGCTGAATTATTTTTTCACCTTCCTTTGATGGAAGATGTGTGCTGGAAATTTTGAAAATATTGACCTAAGCTGCCCAGCAGGTTTTATCTTCCCCATATGCGTGTGAAGCATCATGGAAGGCAAGAATGCTTAGTTAAATGCAGTTTAGGACAGGATTTGGACTTTCATATACCAAGTGGATCCTGGTAATAGAAACAAGTCACAATAGTTTCTGAGAACATGACTGTCCTAAGAAATCTGAGATGGAAAACAGCTCTACCATGTGCTTTAAAAATAAAGGGGAATTCTGTGGCACATATGTATGTAATTTATGCCCGGGAACAATTTTATACTGTCAGAAAAAATAGAGATTGGAAGCACTCATTAAATTAGCTAATCCATCCTTTCCTATCAGATAGTTCACTCTGTCACCACAAGCTTATTCTATATGGTATATTCCTACAGGGAAACTGAAATATCCCAACCCAGCAAGGTACTTAACCAACAAACTAGCTTTAAGTGCAGATTAATCCCATTTACTTCAATGGGATTGTACAGGTGCTTAAAATTAAGTATGCACTTAATTATTTTCCTGAATAAGGGCCTGAGTGTTTTTAGAAATCGAAAATTTGCCTTGATAGACAATTTCCTAGTCTAACAAGTCTTGAAATAACCATTTTCTTTCTCAGTTTACCCCAATGCTCCTGTTTCTAATGTATGCTAAATCATCTTGGTTTCCTAATCATGGTACCCATACCACCCTGAATTTTTCCTTTTCATGAACATGGATCCAGCCTTCAAACAGCTGTAGGTGGTTATATCCTCTGACACCATTTACCAGGCAAAATATATTACATATAGTAAAAATATAATACCATATATATAAAAAAGAATGTTAAATATAATAATTAATATGAAAATGTTATAATCATTACTAATGCCTTTCTCTTAAATCTATCTTGCTCTTTATAATTCAGCCCCTTCTTATGTGGTGTCTCAACTTTAGGTGATGTACTTCTGAGTTGTAAAAAAAAACCCCAAAACCGCAATATGGTAAAATCAATGAACTTCAAGTACCATAAAAGTTGAAATTTTGTAACAGTAGCCAGGTTGTAGCTTTAGACTATCCTTAGGCGAAGCAGCAGCTTTGCATGATAGGGGACAACCAACAGTCACTTCTCAGGCTTTTCTATGATAAATCGCTTATTCTCCAAATATTCCTCTGATTTGCTATTAATTGCATGACAGAAGAGACCAAGCAGCTCCCTAAGAAGGAGATGTATCCCCTGTGAGATGGGTTTTTTTCAGGTGTTTTATATTTGCTTTAGATTGTTGCAAAGAAATACCGCAACTTCGAGTTCCCGGCGGAGATGACGGGGCTGTGGCGGTACCTGAAGAACGCGTACACCAGGGATGAGTTCACCAACACCTGTGCAGCAGACAAAGAAATTGAGCAAGCCTATGCAGATGTGGCCAAGAGGCTCAGCAAGTCCTAAGTGCCCCCAGCCATGGTTCAGTATCCCCTTTTACAGACTCTGCTCCTTGTTGCCTTAAGATGTACTTTATCGTTATGCTGTCTGGTTGGCATCTTTATGACTTCACATGTTCCAAGTGTATTGGGCAGGGACAAATCTGCCTCTCCCTGGAGAAAAGAGAAGGCAGCTGTAGTGGGGGGGGTGGTGAGAGGGGGATGGGGGGTGGGGGTGGACACCCTTTGAAGTCTAACCCAAGATCTGGCTCAACTAGTATTATTTGCAATCAGTATTGGAAATGAGTCTGCTTGACTAGTTTCTTGTTCTATGTTGGGGGTACATCATGATCTGCATTCTTTAGAGTTTTAAAAATAGCTGAAATTTCAGGTAAGAGAGTTAGGAACACAGAGAACTGGTTCCTCTCTAGGTTATTTCAAGGACATTTTCCTTCAGTTCTATTAAGATCCCTGAGGCATGAACAAAATTCAAGAGAGAGAGAGGGGAAAATAGGAGTTTGACCCTAAAGCAGAAATGCTCTTAGCAGTTATATTTAAATAAACTCTCTGAATGCATCTTCTGTCTTAGCAGGCCCAGGAGTTTATAGGGTATTTATTTTTAACTTGGCGCAAGAGGGGGAAGCCTGAGTGAATATGTCAGACTTGCAGATGCTACTCTGCATAAAATTTGCATGATGGTTGTTGGATCTAAATGTTTAAAGCAGAAGAAATTAAAAGAGCAATTGAGCAGGCAGCCCTTGGAAGGGCAGGGCCTGTGCCAAAATGCCCAGTGGATCTGCTGGTTGGTAGAGACAGACAGGCACAGCAATAACAGGGGCAGCAGATTGACTCCAGCACCCACAGAGGGAATTGGCACAGCAAACCAGACCACGCAGGATATTGTCGTCTTGACTGGATGGTTGCCAGTTCCTTTATAATTGCTATCTTGGGAAACTTGGATCAGCAGAGGGAAGCTGTCGCTGCACACGGATTCCAGGCAGGGGAAGCTCCAGATGGGTCACTTTCAAGCACTCATCATCTCACCCCAGGAGGAGTTTGCTGTGAGAGCCTCAAAGAGGGCAGGCTGGCACAGTGAGGGGCACATTTCCAGCCAGGAATTCAGCAAGTCTGCTAGCAGAAATCCATGCATGGTGCCTCAATCCCACTCATCCAGACCTTACCCATCCAGGTTCCACAATTTTGAATCAGGTGTTTTTTCCTCAAAGAGATTATTTTGCCCTGTCTTCAGTGCCTGCCTGGCACATCTGCTTTATACTGGTGATTATTTGCACGTTTCTTCAGCAAATTCAGAATGACAGCTCTTTCACTTGAAGCTCATGTGTTCCAGTACGTACAGGAGAGCACATGGTTCATGGGTTTCAGTTTGTGGGGGGATTTATTGCTGTTTTAAAAGATAAAATAAAGCTGAGCTGTAACCTGATGTAGCTCCCCTTCTGATCAAAGTTGCTAAAGCTGCACTGATTTGAAGGGAACCCCAAGCTGGTGAGCTGTGACCGAGGGGAGCCTGCTGCAAACAGCAGACTTGTTTGCAGCCAGAGAGCTGGGAAAGTGGAACAACATTGAAAGCCAGGCTCTGCCATGTGATGCTGATGACAATCTGAAACCATCCTTTTGCTTTAGTGGGATAATTCCACTTTTCACACTAACCCAGCCGATAGCAGATTGTTGCTCATTGACTGAAGAGAGTTTGTGGTTGACTATTGTTTCACATGCAATGGTCAATTTGTTCTGAACTTTCAAAACCTTGGAAGAAAATCCATTAACTCCCAAGTCTTCTCCTAGAATGGGCTATTTTAGCAGTGGCTAGACTGGAGGGCAAAGGCTTGCACTCCTTAAAATATTGCTAAGAAATCAGCTGGCTCAGAGAACACTAATAGCAGCCAGAAAAATCCAATGAGATTAGAAGTATCTGTACAAGCACATGTGGCTTGTTAAAAATATTTCTTCATGAGATTTGAGTTAGTGTGATATTATTTTCTTTTTTTTTTTTTTTTTAAAATTCTGGTATTTATTTATTTATTTATGTAATTGACTCGATCCTTTCTTTCTGTCTTTCTAGTTTTTGTTTTCACTCAACACTTAAGTCAGGATGGCTCAGTCAGTTTAGAAAAGTGTTATTAGCAAAGCTCTGCAAGTTTGTTCCTAGAGAAAAGGCTTCTATCTGATCAATGGTCCTGGGGATTTTTTACTCTCAGTATGATCCTGTCAATCAACCAAAACTACATTTTTCTCATTTGCCTTTTCCCAGGTTTGCACTTCAGTCAGTAGCTTTCCTTAGTCACAGTTGCTGTGAATATTTGAATGAAAGACGCAGAGGCAGGTTCTTGCCCTCTGCTTACTATATTTATGTCCTAAAAGAAGTCTGTCCAAACATGCAGCAAATCTCAGGCAGATGAACCAGGATCTGCCCTGATTTTAATCTCAGAATCATCTCCATTTTGCTAAATCTCGTAGTTCTGAAATTCTCTTATATGTTTGTCTCTATTTTTATAGAAGATGGCCAAGTCACAATCAGTTGATTTCAGTGACCTCAAATTGCATCTGGTTTAAAAAAAAAAAAAAAGTTTTAAAATAGTTGGGCTCATATCAAAAAGAAAATTATCTAGAAATGCAAGGAGATTTTTCTGAGATGATTTGAATATTCTTAAAAAAAATTTAAGATTTCATAATAAAATTTAAGTCCCCAGGCTAATTTCCTTTCAATAAATCCTTAAATATATTCATTTTTCATACAGTATTCCAAAATATCTAGATAAAATATAATTATGGATATGAGAAATTAGAGGAAAATGCAGCAGTTTTCAGCTAGAGTGCCGGTTCTGTCTGAATTCAAGTCTCACTCTGCATTCTGACTTTGCATTTTCCTCATAACTCTATTATAGGCTGATCCAAGATCATGGACAGGTTCAGGCATTCCCTGACCTTTTTTTGGGTTTGAAATCCAAGCTTATGTTTTCAGATCTGTAACTTTTACTCACCTTTGTGCTTCTTGGCTTTATCCATTGCCAGAAGCAGGAAATACTGGAAATCCTACATAGAAAAGTGTTTTGCTAAGTTTTTGAGCTCAGTTCTCAAGGTTCAGGATCCATCACCAACGAGATTGTAAAGGGCTCCAGATTCTTTTAGGTGGAGTATTTTTGGTGACCTTCCATTGTATTTAGAATTATAAGTAATAAATACTAATCTTAAAGGATTGTATATCTACATTGGCAAGGCAGCATTTCTAAAAAGAATCTAAGTGACAAGACAGACATTGCAGATTTACAATAACTTTGTTAATAAATTTTTTTGTAAGATGTAAAGAAAGACATAGTGCAGAGAGGGAAGAAGCCAACAATGTGGATTTAATCATCTACATTTCAGAAATGCAGACCAAATGTCTGTGAAGATGTCCATTTCATCCAAACATTTCTTAGATATTTATTTCAAAGCTCCCTGCTCAGTCATTCCAACACTCCATTCATATTGTAAGGAATATTGATTTTTCTTCTATTAGCAGTGGTATGGGAGTTCTTGAGAATCCCACAGATTAGTTACCCTTATTCTCTGTTAGACCTGTTTGAATTGCCAAGAGGTCATTTTGCAGCACAGGTAGGACTTCAGAGTATCTCCTTAAAGTCTATTTAAATCAGAAACATTTTTCCCTATAGAAATCACATAATGATATTGCTTTATCAGGTCTAGTGTGGAATATAGAACTATGGTTACTCCTCTGGTTGCACTAGCTGAAAAGCCACTGCCAGGGCGAATGACAGTCTATAGCACAAAGAAAATAGACAACTTTGTTTCCTACAAGAAAGTTCAGTCGAATTGCATGTACTATTTATTTTAAAGATATATTTATTTTATTTTAACCCCTAAACACCTTTCTCCCTCTCTCGTCTGTGCTCAAATTCAGCTCCAAGTTAACCATAACCATTTCCTCAGTGGTAAGTAGCAGGATTCTCATGGATGGGCACAGGGGAAACTGTGTAGCCCTTCCATCTGGTAGGATGAAGCCCCTTGTCTTCATCATCTGGGTTTGGCTAATTAGCTGAGTTGAAAGCATTGCAAAAATTTAGCCCATGGAAATCACACTCCTGTAAAACCAGAAGCCCATGGAAGCATTATTTTTTTAAAAAATGAATTGATGTTTTAAAGAAAAAATAACCCCTAAGTCTTGTGTCCTCCTTAATGTGTATTCTTTTAAGCATCAGGAAATTTGCCTTTGCTTATTACTTTTCTAAATGTATTCATTATTCTTGAATTGTTTTTGATATTAAGAAATATTTTCCTGGTAAGATTCTGCCTCTCTGCTGAATCTTTCATCTATTCATTAATTTTTGATGTCTGCAATGACTTAGTAATTCCAGAGGAGGCAGGAAAGCTGTGAGGTTTATACTTGTTGAGAAGCTGAAGGAGGTAATGATTTTTTTTTTTTTTTTGAGAAAACAGCATTAAAATAATTTTTTAAATTGTGTCTTTTCACCTGGGATACTTTAACCAAGAGTTAAGTAACTGTTTAGTCTGGACTGTGAATTTCAGCACAGACATGAGCAAGGCAGCGTGTTGAAGGTGGCTTTGCCTAGGGGTTTCTCTCAGACAGTAGACATGTTCCCTCTGAGTCACAGATTCCCCATTTCCTCCTTTCAGGAGGGCTGTGCTGGTTTGGACACTGAACTAGGACAGCCCATTCAGTGCTCAGCAGTGAAAAGAGGAGTCCTGTTCCCTTTTCTCCCCTTCCAGCTCAGGTGCAGAGAATGTTAAGCTGTTTTATTTCCTTGTCCCACATTCTAACAACACTTGGTCACAGAAAAGCTGAGAAACCCCACCCAATTCTGTTTTCCAGAGGTTGATAAGTGCATTTTTAAACACGTGACATAAAAGCCAGAAGAATCCCGTGTAACCCCTCAGGCATTCCCCACGCAGGACTCAGCAGCCTCTCAGAGACCACATCAATCATCTTATTCCCCCGTTTCCCCAGCTGATTCCCCTTTCACCATTCACTGGAGGGATGCTAATCCTGAAAACACTCCCAAGGATGCGTTTGAATGTGGTGGATTTGAGCTCTGCTCATCAGCTAAGCAGCTCTGAATGGTGGCATTGTCACAGCTCAGCAGGTCGTGCCAAGGGGACCCAGCACCCTCTGGAGAAGCTGAAACTGCTCCATCAGTGATGGTGCAACCATGATGAAAGGTTTGAGGGCCACCTTTCCTCCAGCCTGCCTCCCTGGCTGAAGTGTTAGAGCTCAGCTGGAGCCATGATCCAGCGCTAATGAGCATTTCTAGCTTGCAGCATGTGAATAGGGACTACTGATGTGTTTAATGTTAAACATGTGCCTGCCTGCCTGCCTGCCTGGAGAGGGGCCTAAAAGCCATGACAGAAAAGTCTATACTAATGAAGGGCATTATTACTCTCTTCCCTTTGAAATCTGGTGGCAGAATTCCCAGTGGGGGAATTCCCAATAGGAATTCCCAGTAAAGCCAAAGGTGGCATAAGCATGAAGATGCTTTGAGTGCAGAGAGAACAGAGAGCACTCAGGGAGAAGAGGAGGCAGAGTGGTGTAAAGGTTCTTTGTGCAGAAGGATGCCAGGTGGTAACTGCAGGGACACGGGCAGTGCTGCCAGGCTCTGCTCGGGTCCCGTGGGGGGATCAGAGTGCAGCAGGCCCAGGCTCTGCTGGCAGTGAAATGCCAAGGCGTGTTCTGCTGTATCTCCAGCTGTATCTCCCTGTGGTGGCGTCCCACAGAACAACGATGCCTCCATTGTGGCTGCCTCACTCTTATTATGAAGTGGCTTGTCTAAAGAAAACTAAGAAGGGTGGGGATTTTTTTTTTTTTTTACATATACATGGAGTAAAAACAATCCAAATATGCTTTAATGGTTCTCAACATGATACTGTCAATTCTCACCACAGGGTGGAATTTGTTGGTGGAAATTAAATTAAATTAAAACAGAAGAGTTTGGCTATTGCTAATGGGTACTACTGGGAGCCCTAAAAGCAGTTTGCAGTGTAGAACCATAACAGCAGTGAACATCCTTTAATTCCCAGAATTGCTTGGGTTTCACAGGGTCATTTTGGCCTATTCTGCTGCACTGCTGAGAAGTTGCTCTTTCCCTGTCTCTCTAGGTCCATAAAGTCTGAAGAATTTGGGAAATGGCTACGGGCACCAAATTAGTCTTTTTCTTTCTCACTCTTTTTTTTTTTTTTTTTTTCCTCCTTCATTAAATTAACTACTTTAGTTTGGAAGTTAGCAATAAGTCAGTAGAATTTGCAAACAACAGATTTCTCTACTCTTTCATTAAGAAAGTTTTAAAGAGCTTTCAGGAAATGAGAGGTTATCCCCTGTGTTGGGAATAAACTGTGGTATAAAATACAAATATAAGTGGGATTCTGATTAAATTATTGAAGCAGAAAGATTGCAGGTTTTTTTAAGGAGCATGCTTAGGAGTAAATGAACAGAATAGTCCAGATACTGTAGTAGGAGCTTCAGTTCTAATTTCTGGTTTGGGTTTTGTGTTAGGTTTTTTTTTTTTTTTTTTTTTAATAGTTACCTGTTAAACAACATAAAATCTATATATACACTTACAGATATATATATATATTCAGAATATTTATATGCATTATTTAATTCAATAATGCTGTGAAGTTTGTTGGGATGGAAAGTGGCATAAAGAGGAAAACTTACACATTTGAAACAGCACTATTATTTCTGTGTCTTTGATTTGGTTCCCACTGGAATAAACAAGAACCACACATTAGTTGTGTGGAAGCAGGATTTCAACTTCACAGACCCCGAAAGTTTGGCAGTCCCTTGGAGGCCAAGGTAATTTGGTATTTAGCAATCCGAGCCTTGCGGTGGGCACAGTGCGTTTTGAAGGCATTCAGAGCCGTCCTTGGGTGAGGGAGTGATGCTTGCAGAGGACCCCAGTGAATCCCTGCTGTTTTAAAATGAGATTAAGCCATCATGAGATGTGGACTGGCTAACCCCAAACCAGGCGCGTTCGCCTGCAGCGCAGCCGCTAAATTGTTCTGACATCAGGAACCGCAGCGAGGGAGCTTGGCCTCAGAAGTGAGTCAAAGCAGCATCTTTGTCACCAGTCATTTTCTATTTATAATGACACAGATCTATTTTATAATCACGGGGAGGCACAACAGGAGTGTGCTTTGTTCTGCCTAAATCGCATTTCTCGTGCGGGTGCGTTTAAACACAGCCCTTGGCCCCTTGCCCCACACCACACACACCCAGGGCGGGCAGTTCTGGCACAACAATGCACACCCTGTCATGCTTGAATGCTCAAAGCCTCCAGTGCTGGAGCAATAAACTCCTGCTAAATGGCTTAAAAATGCTCCCTTAAGTGCACCGAGCTGCCCCGCTGCTGCCTCACTTCTCATTTCCAATGATGTTGCGTTTCTAAGCCTTGTGTTTCAAAGAAGCCAGGAGTATGTCGAGTTGTTTAGTGATGGAAATTGCAGGGCATTATTAACTGTAAGAATTTAAGATGAAAAACCCCACTCCCCAACCCAACCCTGGTGCAAACCTGACAGCTTTTACTCCTGCCTGCGTTTTCAGAGGCTATGAACAAATTTCCAACATCTGCTTGGTTTGGTTCCTGGAGAACTGGTCCTCATCTGTGCAAACCCTCAGCACTATGATGGTAACACCCTCTTTGCTGCCTTTTTTTTTTTTTTTTCCTAATGAAGGGTCCTGCTGTGTATTTCCTAGAAAATTATGATTTTGTGATCAATAGATTTCTTTTTGTAACGTGTTTTCAGTTCTAAAGCCTGAAGATCAAAACCAAGTTGCATAGTAAGACTTGGGGTTGAGCAGAGTGCTTTTTTCCTCTCCAAAACCATCATTTTTCAAATCCTGACTAATTTAGAGCACAATTCTGGTTACTTTGAGGAGGTCTGAGGTTGAAGGAGAGGAAGGGGAGCCCATTGAGAGAGGCTAGCAGGAACCAGTCTCTGTAAGTCTTCATAGATACGTGGACAAGTTTCCTATCAGTGTGTGAGTAACCTGTGCAGAGACCTGCATGGCCCCAGTGGACCCACAGTTGCTTAAAACCTGCACTGATATTCAAAGACAAAATTTGGGCTGTGAACCATGACATGATGATCAGACATGATACCTCTTCAGGGCATTATACCGGCAAAAAAGAGCTCATTTGAAAGGACACTCAAATTTTTAGCTACAGGTCAAGACCTGAGTTTACATGACTCGATCTTCTCCTCCAGAATGTCATTAATCCTAGAAATGGCTAATGGCTTCAGGACTCCCACCTGAAGTACTGGGCTAAAAGCAAGATCTGAAACTCATATGGAGAAATCAGGAATTACCTTCAAACTCAGACCGGGTAAGCTTCAAAGGAAAGTAATTTATTTGTAAACAACTATTTTGTAGTATCTGACAGCGAAAAGTAACTGTGTATCCAGAGGTCTTCATCAGATAAGAAAGCAAGCCAGGATCCCTTTGTGTACTTGTGTTTTTCAGTCAAGGAGCATCCTCTCTTAATGTGCAATTTTAGATTAAAGTGCAACCTCTTTGGGTAGGAACTCTGTATTTGTTCTCTGCATGTGCAGCTCTTTACATGACAAGACTATGATTAGGGCCTTTGTGTGCTGCTCTAACCCTCATAACCCGTAACAATAGGAAAAATATAATTAAAATGTCATTGCAGTTCACCTTTATTATTATGATTGTGAGACTCTGTCAACTGTGAATAAAATAATGTCCTTTTTGTATAATAGGTAGTATATTTTATTATTGAAGAAAGAGTTAAATTTAATTTTTAAACACAAAAATATTATCTGCTCATTGTTTCATTTTAAGCTTTTGAATATATAAGCAAATATTTATTTTTTATCCTTCAAATGAGTATGTGTTAAATGAAGAAACCCACCTTCCTGAATTGGAGCTGTTTATAATTATATTCCAAGAGTGATTAACACCTTATAATTTGAATAAAAGTGGTTTATTTTCTCATTGGGTTATTGTAGAACTTTGTTTAATTTTGTTTTTTTTTTTTTTTTAAACAGACAACTTTTCTTTGCCTGCAAAAAACCAAACATGTGCTCAGAGCTTGAATACAGCTATAGTCACCCCGTACTCTAAGACTGGGATATGAGAACTGGTGGGATTACAATATACATCCATAAAATAATGAAGGGTAAAATGGGGTGTGACCATTCACTGTTTCTCATATCAGAGATTATGTATTCCTAATAAAATAATCAAGCAGCAAGTTTAAAGCAATCAGAAAGAAAGGTCTTTTTACACAGTGTGTAATTAAATTTTGGAACCCTTTACTGGATGATGCTGTGCAGATCAAAATGAGTATGGGGTTCAACTTCCTGAAGAATAGATCCATAAGTGTTGTCAAACATGAAACTTTGGAAGCAATGTCCAAGTCAAGAAGTCCCAAAATACCAGGGCTGAGAGAAAGTCCATGAGGAGGTAGGTTTCCATATGCATAGTTTTCTTGTCTTTTTTTTTGCTGTGAGAGATTAGACACAGCCACAGGAGGGCTGGGTCTCTTGGCTCCAGGATGTCCTTTCTGGGATTACAATACAGAAATGTGAAGTATTGTAAATTGAACTCCAGCACAGAACTTTGAATTCAGCTTCCCCAAAGCAAACCAGTTCCAGAGGTGCTTTAGATACAGAAGCTCAGAATCCCCCTCATAGCAAATGACAGGGGATCACATTCCATCTGAAACAACAAGAGTTCATCATCCAACAGCTGCAGCTGGGGAGGAACAAGCAGTATTTCTCTGAATTTACATATAAACTTCTCTTCTGGTCACAAAGATTGTACCCAATGGGTCAGATCTCTCTAATCTCTCTAGTCCTGCATTGTTCTGGTACTACATCTCTTTTGATGTTGTGTGTGATACAAAAACAGGCATCTGTTTCAAATTCTCCAGACCTAAGGTGGTAAGTGCCAGCCTAATGTTTCTGCTCAAACTAGTGCTGAAATACCATTTCACTTGTCCAGCGCTGTACAAATACAGGGCCTTGGTTGATTTCTTTTGGACTGAGCCCGAAATGTGCAAACACCCAGATGCACCTTTATAGCACATGTGATCTTTCTCTTTCTCTCCAGTCGTGGAAGCAAGAGAGAAAACCAGGGAATCTGAAAAGCTCAACATCAGACATATTAAAGAATTAATAATTTTTTTTTTTTCTTAATTAGTAGCCAGTCCTGAATGGAAGTTCAGCTTTGCTGTTCAGTCACTCAGCTGATGAGGGTTGCTCTGCAATGCTGTGGCTGATGGGGTGTCAGAATCTGTGGTATTGATGATCCTGAGATTGTAGAAAGTCTCTGTCTTTCTGCCCCGTTGCCAAAGAAGAAGCCATAATTCGTCTGTGCTGTTTTCAAGGTTGTTTATTCTGTTTATCTCTAACATGTTCTGCTTCCCTGCCGCAGCTCTGTCCTGCAGGGCAGCGTGTGGGGCTCTGCCCCTCAGTGGGATGTTACAAACATTATATACCTGAAACTACCTGTGCTATATTTACAATAATGTGCCAATATCTGTCACCTACGTTGAACAGTGTGTCCCCAGCCTAAACCAACAGAAAAATGCCAACACTACAGTGAAACATGGAGGGCATGAAGAAGGAGAAAAAGGACAAAACACACCCAATTTCCTCCATCTTGTCCCCTTTGAACCCCTAATCTAGAATCCTAAAATTCTACTTTTGCACCCGTGTCACACTTAATTATTACTCATATCAAACACTCAGAGCTTGTAATTCGTCCTGTAAGAGTGAAAACTCTTTTCCATGGACAGAGATCACAGTCAGTGTCTCTGGGAGCTCTGTCCAGGGGCGTTCCTGACCCCCTCCCAGGGTTCCAGACCTGCCAGGGCAGCCAGAGGGAAGCTCTGGATTCCCACAATGGGGGATGCTGCTGTAAAAACACACAGTGACACATCGTGTCACTGTCATGCCAGAACCACAGGCATGAGACTGCTCCATCCTGGTGAGCATCTCTGACAGCGGCTAGTACTGAATAATTCACAGAGGGCTGCCAGGAGCCCCAACCCTTGAGGTTTGACCTACTGACCATACACAAAAAATGTTTGACACTGGTAGTTTTGTAGTTTATTTAATTAAAAATTATTCCAAATAGCTCTGTCCCCTCTCATTGTACAAACAAACCTAACACATGTCTCAGGCTCTCTGGACACTGGTTTAGGTGATATTTGACAGTAGTAAAACTGAGTGCATCAGATCCATTAGGTACTGTGTAAAATAAGTGGTTTCTGTGCATAAGTGATTGTGATTGCGGATCTGAATGATGAAAAATGGGGTGAGTAACAACCTGGATCACTTATGACTTTTCCTGTCTTTATTTTATCATTCCTTATGCCTTTGCTCTGAGCAAAGCCAATGCTTTCCCCTTTCCACAGCAATGTCTCACTGCTGCTGGTCATTTTTTTGGTCATTCAATCTCTGAAAATTCACTTCTACCCAGGTAATCGCTCTCTCTGACAGGGATTTGTACTGCTGTCTCTCCCTGCTTGCTATGTAAAAAAATAGAGCCCTTGACGGGCTCCACAGAGCTGCTGGCACCTCTTCCTTCAGCGAAGGGGTGGGGGGAAGCTTTGTCAAGGAGGGTTTAGTTTGGGTTTTCTTTTTTATCTGACTACCTGACGTAACACTCCACATGTCCTGCTCGACATGCAGCAATCAGTCCAGTCTGCGCCAGGCAAGAGTTTAGACATTTCAGGTGTCATCCATCCTTCATATCTCATGCATGCCTTTCCTTTCATGAGCCCAGCAGATGCCTTTAATTGCCAGCCTTTGCTTCTTGGCTTTCCAAGGAGCAGCAGAGGAGCTATGGAGTCCCTCTGGCGCAGGATGAAACGAAGGGGCCCAGCAGTGTTATGACATTTTCTTGCACTGAATTGGCTTTGGGAAGAATGGCCTCTTTCCTCCCGTTAGATAAGCACAGAAATCTTAAGCAGATGCTTGCAAAACATCAAACAAATATATACTTTAAAAAAATAAATATAGGCTATACCCACATGCCCCAATCTGGCCAATATTCAGCCACCGCTGACAGGATCTAGCCTTTCTCTGGAGGAGCCTGGAGGAAAAGGAAAACCCACAGTCCGGTCACTCCTCAGCAGGACTGGAACTGGCTCCTCCACTATCCCAGAGCCCACCATGGCCATGCCAGCAGCTGGTGGCCAATTTCCAACCCGCCCTGTTGTTCAGCAGCTAGAGGGAAACAAAACCCTTCTCTCTTGGGTGTTGTGTGTACACCCCAGGTACTTTAATCTCTTTGAGTTTCGCCTTAAATCAGCATTGCAGAATGCAAAGGGGAATTTAATGCCATAGGGAAGAAGGTGCAGCAGTTTGAATAGTCTAAACTGCCAAAAACAAGAAGAGGGTGTTCTCTTCAGCGCATACGTAAGCCTTGTAACCCTTATGCTCCTGAATTTTAGAGCAGAGATAACAGAGGGGATTTCTTCTGGTTCCCTTGCACTGAAAGCCACTGGTTTTGGGAAAAGCTGGATTAGAATTACATTCATTGGGAAGTGTGAGAAAGAATTTATTGCAAGAAATCCCCCTTCCCTCTATCCTTTGTTAAAGCAACATTAAAGAACATTATTGGTGCCAAGGGAAGGACTTTGAAGAACTTGCTGGAGTTCAGGTCACCCGTGTAATCCACATCCAACTCCTGGTGTGGACAGGTTGTAGTACCAGCTTTCATCAGCTCATGTACCACATCCTGCACAGCTCCTGCCCCGTCAGTGCCCTGAATGGGTGATGCAATTTGTTTTCTTGGCACAGAGTGGTGCTGGGCCTTCTTTATTCCTTATTGTTCAGCCTGTTAGAAAACTCTTTAAAACAATCACACTATCATGTGCTCTCTGCAGCAACGTTGTTTGTGACTGCTTCACAAACATCAGATCATTCCTGTGTCCCCAAGGGGCACAGGATGATATTTCACAGTGTGGGGAACCAAGACTGAAAACTGCAGAGACAAGTTTTCACTTCAGATGCTACATTTCACCTATTAAAGATGTGATTTTTGCACTGAGCTGTGATTTCAGGGAACTGCTGTACCAATAAACTCAATGTACTGGGATCACTCCCAACCTCTGGGACAAACTGGCACGAACTGGCTCCTGTCCATACTGGTTTTCCCTCCTCGGCTGAATAGCTGCCTGCAAATGGCTTGTTAGAAACATCTCCCGGACAAATGAGCTTCCAGCTGATTTCAAAGGTTACTTTGGGAGGGTACTAGGTGGCCTGAGCCAAGATACACATGCATATTTATATATTTATATATTTATATATAAAAATGTATGAATTTATATATGTATATCCACTAAGTAGTAAAGGCAGGTATTTGGGTTATGTTTCTAAGTGCAGCTGTGACTGCTCAGAAGCTCCTGCCTCTCAGCTGTTGCTTCAGGTCCCAGTGCCACCATGAAGCTTGCATATGAAAAGTAGCAAATTTGGGGCAGATGATCAGTATTTGATCTTTCCTGACTCTGGAGTGACTTTGCAAATATAGTAATGTTTTGCTGTAGTTGTGCTTCGTAAAATGTTTTTTATACATATGCACACATATCCATGCATGCACATGCACACATGTACAGTGGCATCCTTCCCTTTGAGCAGCATTTCAGTTCTGGGTTTTCCCTTGTCATCCTTAATGACAGCAGAAGATCAGTGCAGCTGGGATTTGAGCCACCACAGGACCAGCTGGCTTTGGCACCACGTCTCTGCTGAATCCCAAGTCCTCAGAAGGTTATTTATCACACCACAACCAGACTTGTGCTGCCTGCCTGCTCTGCTGGGAATATTCCTCATCCCTTGCCACTGGCATGATTCCCCAGGGAGAGAGAGCCCCACAGATGTTGGGGCCAGTTGGATGCCTTGCTCTGCAACCAGCACTCATATTTATAGTGTATAGGGTAAAATCTTTATTCATAAAGCAGCAGCTTTAGCTTTTCATTGTCAGCA